ATTGTACGTGTGGTAAACTGTGAAGACACAGTAGATCCTATACTGTTATTGTACGTGTGGTAAACTGTGAAGACACAGTAGATCCTATACTGTTATTGTACGTGTGGTAAACTGTGAAGACATAGTAGATCCTATACTGTTATTGTACATGTGGTAAACTGTGAACACACAGTAGATCCTATACTGTTATCGTACATGTGGTAAACTGTGAACACACAGTAGATCCTATACTGTTAATCGTACATGTGATAAACTGTGAAGACACAGTAGATCCTATACTGTTATTGTACATGTGATAAACAGTGAAGATACAGTAGATCCTATACTGTTATTGTACATGTGGTAAACTGTGAAGACATAGTAGATCCTATACTGTTGTCGTACATGTGATAAATTGTGAAGACACTTACAGGTTTCTGTTTTGATGGTTGTACTCCCTCTAATTGCCATGTTTTGTGCAGATGTTGTCTTTTTTAAATAATTGTTTTATTCAATATGCTAACCTCAGATGCATACATACCGTTTCTATCAGTTAACCATGTAAAGCCTGCGTATTTGATAATGTTTTTACAGCAAGTACATGAAACAATACCTGACATTATACATTATAAAAATAACTCACACTTTTTCTGAATCATTTCTTCTTGTATACTCTGATCCTCCTGCACTTCCCTGAAATCAAAGTTATACAGACACATGAAAGTAGGACAATAAATCACTAACTTCTAAGTAATAGCATGTTAGTTTACTAAGGAATAATAGGTCCTGTGTGTAACACTCTTAGAAGAACAAAATCCCAAGTCTATACCAACACATCTACCAGAGAATGACCAATACTTCAGAAACCATTACAAATGTTCCCACTTAAGCTTGTCCTGCTGAAAACACTTCATTTCAGAAGCGTACATACGGTACAAGTACTATCTACTCTTTACATAAATTAAACTCACTAGTACCTATATATCAAGAACTAAAACACCTTAATATAGGTAGTTTAATATTCCTTAATGTACTATCTACTCTTTACATAAATTAAACTCACTAGTACCTATATATAAATAAATAAAACACCTTAATATAGGTAGTTTAATATTCCTTAATGTACTATCTACTCTTTACATAAATTAAACTCACTAGTACCTATATATAAATAAATAAAACACCTTAACATGGGTCGTTTAAGATTCCTTAATGTACTATCTACTCTTTACATAAATTAAACTCACTAGTACCTAT